ATAATATTAATTAATAAAATTTAAAGGAATATTTAGATAATATAAATGAAATTGATATTCAAATAGATAAAGCAAATATAAGCAAATTAGAATATTTATCTACAAGTAAATGAAGATATAGATTATATGATACAAGTTGATATTGAAGAAGGATTAAGTAAAGAAATTATAGAAGACCTTAAACTTTTACATTTAAAATCATTATATAATTTAACGAAAGCAGCATATAATAATATTATCAAATTATTTACCAATAAAACATTAGTTTATATAAGATTAAAAAAAATATTAGAAGAAATTATAGGACTTGTTCCAAAATTTTATGATATGTGTAAAAATTCCTATATATATTATACTGAAATTTATGAAACTTATCAAAGTTGTTCATTATGTAATTTATGGAGATATGATTCAAAAAATAAATCTAAAAAAGTAATACCATATCTTTCTATTAAAAAGAGATTAGAGATTCAATATAATAATAAAATAAGGGCTGAAGAATTACTTTATCAAAATTGATATATTATTAATAAGAAGATTGAATCTGAAGATTTAAAAGATATTTTTGATGAAAATATGTATAAAGATTTATTAGAAAAAGATTTCTTTAGTGATCAATGAGATGTTGTATTTACAGTATCTTGTAATAGATATAAGATATTTAAATAAAAAACTGATGATTATTGGTTATTTCTATTAATAAATAATAATCTGGATTCTTCAATTAGAGTTAAAAAAGAAAATTTATTAATTTCTTTTTTGATTTCTAAACAAAATTAACCAAAGAATTTTAATATATTTTTAAAATCATTTATTAATAAAATAAAAGAATTAAAAAGTTAGTAATTTACTATATTTATTTATAATAGTATCTAGACGTTTTGCCGAATCTGTTTTTCTAAAACTCACTTTGCTGAAGCTAATTCACCAAAAGGACTCTTCACCGAACGACCACTTCACCAAATGGACTTTTCATCGAAAAACGTTTTCGCTGAAATACCATTTCGCTGAAAGAACACTTCGCCAAAATGCTATTTTGCTAAATGACGTTTGCTGAACGAACACATCGCCGAATCTGTTTCACCAAAAGGACATTTTGCTGAAAATGACTACAGTCAAACCTCGATATAATGAAGTTGCTGATCTAGCCGATCAGGACTTCATTATAAGAATCTTTATTAATGCTATAACGAATTATTCGTTATAGTAGATGATTACTGATTTCATTACACAAATATAATTTTACTATTTCCAGAAATATT